ACTCACATACGAAACACGCAATGATTAAAATGCTAGCGCTTCTGGATATATGTCCCTGCTATAAATGCTGTCAAGTGTTTTTACATAATTTGTTGTGGCTAATAGCTGCCCCCCTTACTTCTTCTCTTCTGCAAATTCTACAGTACTCTCACTCTTGGTTTTGCTTCCATCTATCTGGCCTGTGTGCTAAACCGTCTTTTGCTGCTCGCCTAAATCATGAATAATCTCTGCTCTCCCCATCAGCCCATCTCTTAGCCTCTTGTTATTCTTCTGTTCATTAAAATACACATTCATATTCATTAGAAAGATGAATAAAGTCTCAGGTTTAAGGTTCAGTTTCTTAAGTCGTACTGGCAAAATCTCCTCTAAAGAAGATACATTTTCTTAGTAGTCTTTCCTTTGCTACTGTGTCTCTGCCAGTCGGTTTTGCATGTGGAGCTCGTGCTGCGCTCAGCAGCTTTGGGGCAGAGCATAGCATTGTTTCAGAGGAGGGAGCTGTGTGTCCTGATCCCAGGACAGGACCCAGCCAAAGTCTTAAAAACACTGCAGTGCAGAGGGGAAGAGCAGGTTAGAGTGCAAAAGAGGCGGACAGGATAAAGAGAGAACAGCATAGTGCCAGGATTTATAAATGAAAAGCAGCACAAACAAAACACATGTGAAAAACTGTGAGGCCAACCAGATTAAATCTATTGAGAAAAAGGGTGAAAGAGATAGGAGGCAAAAAGGTGTATCTCTTCATTGATAATCATTGCTGACAAGTATACAGTGACATTCTAAACGTTGTAATATGTTTCTGTAAAAGTTCATCAGAAGACAGCTAAAGGATTTCAGGTCATATTCTTCAGGTACTAAGTGCCTCGCTGTCTCACAGGTCTTTCAGTCTGCACATCTGAGTGCCTGGGGGCAGCCCAGGTCCTGCTAGTTGATGGGAAGAGTGTCCATTTCCTCTGAGTAGGTGAAACATAATATACAAGTAGAGCCTGTGCGGAAGTGCACAAGGTGGGGAAAGCAATAAATGAGAGATAGAGAATAAAAAAGATAAGCATGGTGTTGTTGAAAGCTGTTGCGATAACTCCGGAGGACGCCTGGTGCCTGCGTGTTGACCGACACACTCTCAGACCCCCGGGGTTGTGATCTGTGTGGAGGGGCTGGCATTGATTGGCAGCTCTAAGAGTCTCTTAGACCCAGCTGGACGTTTGACATTGTTGGCACTGAGGTGACGAGCAGGCTGCTGTGTGGTGTTTACTATGATAGATAGATGACACTGGAAGCTCAAAGAAGTGAACAGCCACACATTTAGACAGCAACCCCCGGGGAACATGTGGATGCAATTTATGTGTATTACATGGGCACCTGCATGTCTGTCTGTATATATGGGTTGAGTCCAGTGATGCCTAAATTGCCTATATGGTCTCATGAGGCTTTAGGATTGACAGAGAGCTCCAGAGTGGAGCGGCTGTGAACAAGTTTGCTCCATTACAGCCAACGCTTTTAGCCTGATATGTTGGCTCAGCAGCACTCACTTATCAACTGATCAATAAAGGGAAGTTGAACCAAACTTCTTTAGGGGGGCCAACACTTAAAGCACAACCATCCACATCAACGAGAGGTTGCTTTGCTTGGGTGATTTGCCTTTTAGTTTCCTGTTTCCAACATAAATTGTCAGGAAATGTTTCTTTTATCCAATCATATCCAAATCAAACCTCTGTGACCTTCACGAGTATTCCCTCTCCACATGACTGGGAACGCTGTGGCACAGATAGTCTTAATTCAATTCAGCTGCTATTTAAAACTTTGTTGAGCAGACATGGTTCACTGTGAAACTACATGAAAAAATACAAATGAAACATCAGATAATTTAGGGTTGTGATGAACAGGTAATGAATCGATCTTCAGAAAACAATTCAGGCAATTAACAAGCAAAAGCGCCAAATATTTCGCAGTTCGATGACAAAACAAGACATTTGATGAATTCCCAATGGCCTCTAGGAAAATGGTGGGCATTTTTCTGAAGCTTTATACCGACCAATTTATTATTTAATCAAGAAAAAATCTGCAGAATAATTTATATGAAGATAATTGTTTTTTGCAGCTCTAAAATAATTAAACTAGACATGGAGTCAAAGCTAGATTTAGTGCAAGAAAAACTCCATTCTCTTAAATTGCCCTTTCAGGTTTCTGAGTACTGTCAAACTTCGCATTTGTGGGTGAACCGCATCAAGAGAAAGACTGGAGCTACTTTAGTTTGCAGAAGAAACCTTTTACCCACTCTACGCCGCCTCCGTGAAAGCCCCGCAATAACTGATCAGGCCAGCTTAATGTTGCCCTGTGCCTTCAACTGTTAATTATTGCAAGCACATACAAAATAGTCAAGCTGCATTAACAAACCTAGGTAATCTGTTTTTAGGACCGCCATTGTGTAGATGAATATCACTGGGCACTATCAATATGAAGTAAGACAGAGGGTGAGTGGGAAGGATTTTTCCTCTGCGTTGGTGTATAATGGTATCAACTCCTCTCATCTTAGGCAGAGCGGAGGCATGTTGCTCCGAGGGGAAGCTCATCATATCCCTTTGTGTTTTACAGTTTCCTTACTGTTGCTGTGAAAATAAAGCTGTTAATGATGTCCCTGTAGTGGCTAGTATAAGGTTTTATAACAAAACAGAGATTAAGCTTTCCAGGGTCAACTGGGAAACCAGCTCGTGTGCAAAACAATCAGTAGGGGAACTGCAGAGTTGCCATGGTGACAGATGCAGATTTCTCAATCATTATAAAACCAATAAATTATGTACTCTCTGCATGTTGTAAATGTGTACATCTGACAGGGCCACTATGTCATTCTGACGCAAAGTCATGAAGCCTCACTGCTGTCTCCACTCAAGTTTAATCACTTCCAGGCTCCGAGACGGTGTCAGCCTCTCTCCCCCCCCTTTCTTTTTGTCATACGCTATCTCAGCAGATGTCTGGAGCTGGTTAGAAACTGTGTTTCTGCGGCTGTGTGTCTGCACTGCGACCCCTAAACCCTGGCCTGACTGAACCTGAGCAGGGAATACAGGGAAACACAAACCTCCAGGCCTGGCCCTTGTTAGAGGTCAGAGAGGGTTGGGGTTATCACATTTGCTCAGCGTCATATTCACTTCCTCTCTCTTCCCTCCAGCTGGGGACCCTCAGAGTTTGAGTGTGCGTTTAACAGCTCCAGTAATAAATTCAATAGCTTTCAGATGCAGATATTTTTGTCTTCCCCAGCTAAGACACTCCATAAAGGGCCGAGGTTTGAACTCATACTGCTGCACATGTCGTCTTACTGTCTAGGACCCATCCAGTGTTTGTTCAAAGAGTCTATTCCTCACAGGATAGAGCCATCTACCTTCTCTGCACCCCTCTCTGCTGCGTGTCTCTTCCCCTGTTAACCCCCCAGCCTGCCAGGCTCAGATCTCCTTACACTCTCCAGCCTTTCATGTGAATGTGGGTGGGAGCAGAGGATGGGGAAATTGGCCACCCTGGGACCCACTTTTCTACACACACACACACACACACACACACACACACACACACACACACACACACACACACACACACACACACACACACACACAGACGAATGAAGCCTATAAAATGTGTGGTGAGACAAGCCGGAGATAAATGACAGAGAACATGCTGTCTGTGTGGTGTAAATACGCAAACAGACATGTAAGATGTGTTTGGTTAGCAGCTAGGATCCATCAACAATGTATTCTATCTTAATTTGGACTGGCTGTGAGGTCATGTCCTGAGCTTGAGTTATTTTGCTCCGAGGTTAGCCATTTCTCAATAGGCGACAGCTTTTACAAAGCTAATTTTCATTGATCGATACAGTGGTTACTTTTGCATTTCTAAGTATGAAACTGCTGTGGTGCATTTCTTGTGGCTTTGCCTTTGAAGACAGTTCACATACAAAATGGTCGTGTCAGTGTGGCTCCTGCATTCTGTTTCTTACTGCTGCCTGCTGTGATAAGATCGTCCTCTTTGGATCAGGAACATTACAACCAGGCCAGTGTTGAATACTTATGAACAAATTCACATTACAAGCTTTTTGAAAAGTGTATTTTTTGGAAATTAAAGGTAATTTTTGCTTTGTCCCATTCAGCTGAACATTGGTTTTAAATGGGCCATGGCAGTTAATCTTTTCTGGAGAGAGTGTTTCTCCATCTGTAGGAGGGTGGGGATCGAGAGTCAGAGGTCTGGTCGAGGGCAAGAAGATGGATGGGTAGGGGATGACTGAACTGCGTTTGCACACAACAGCACACAACAGCACTCAAGACACACAACTCAGAGGAAGAGGACTCTCTGGGCTGAGGAAGGGTGGTGGGGTTGGGTGTATGAGGCAGGATGGGGATGGGGGACAAGACAGAAAAAATAAACAGTCCCAAGTAAGAATCTTCCCTCTACAAAGGCTTAAAGTGGATGTCCGGTCCTAGCTCGCCCCCCAGGATCACTTCCCATGACATCGCAGCAGCCGGCCTTCAACCAATCAGGAGTGTGTTTCACGTCATTGTTCTGACCTCTGCTGTCTGTATTGAATCAAAGTGTACGCTGGTCATGTGATTGGATCATCAGCTCAAACATAAAAACCAAGGTTGGATTGACATAAACAAAACAGTGCTTCCTTTATGGTGAGGTGCACAGCTGTGTTTGAAGAGGAAAACTATTTATATTTCCATCCTTTGTGTTATGACTGTCTTCACTTCTTCTCTCCTGATTTTCACACGTCTTCTTCACCTCTCCCTGACAGCACAGCTGCCCTTATCTGATAGCCAATCAAGAGTCCTATTGCAGAGCCGAAACAAAATGCTCTTTTTTGTCAGTAGATTATTTGACTATTTGACCGTGGATGTCTGATTGTAGGGAGGGAGGATATACTCTGCCCTTATTTATCTGTTCCATACCGCCACATTATTACTCCCTAGTGTTTGACCAATAGCGTTCTGCTCTGTCTGTCTTTCCCTGTCTCTTCTCCTCAGATTCATACTCGGCAGCAGGCAGTGAGGGCAGCATCTCCACCTCTGTGGCGTCCCTGCCCCCCCAGGCATCGGGCAGCTCGGCCCCCAGCTCCCCAGGCTCCAGACGCTCTGTCAGCACGCTGAAGAAGTGGCTCACAAACCCTGTTCGCAAACTCAGCATTGGGGCCACGGCCAAAGGGGAGCGCCAGGTCCGCAAACTTGAGGGAAAACCTCCACCTCCTCCGTCTCAAAGCCACAGCCTGGATCTGGGCAGCCCCCCGAGGCATGATGACACGTTCACCATCCTTCCCATTACCCACAGAGAACTGGTGAGAATACAAAGTTGTAAAGAGGCTGCAATCTTTCTTTGTTCACTAATCGAACAAGGCCTTGCATGCCGGCTTTGAACTTCAAGTTCCTCTTTACACATTAGATAAACCACCTCATAAGTAAACGCATAAACTGAAATGATCCCACACTGCCTCAGATAAACTGGCTCTGAAGTAAACAAGCTAAAGTTCAGTCTTGTATAAATACAAGGTAAAGCCAACACCCTGACAGTGGCTTGTGTACAATAGTTAGCTGAAGAATATTAAGAGAGACAGGTTTAACCCTTGTGTGGTGTTCATATTTTTGTTACTCAGCCAGGGTTCGCTGCCTTTTTTGGCTTCAATTCAACACAATCAAACTATTTTATGTTAAAATACTCAACAGATGTTTACTTCATCTCAATTACAAGCAATATAAACAGCATATATGGTTAATATTTGCCCTTTTACATTTGTTAGATCACATTAATGAATTAAAGTGCTACTTGTTTTTTTGCCCGCTGACTGGCTGGTCTTGTGGCTCGTCTAGCTGATGCTCAATCTCATCCTTTTCTTCAAAGTCTCTGTCAGACTCAGAATTCTCAGAAATGTGATCCTCACATTCTGAAGCCTCTTCCTCTTCCTCTACATCATCATCAAATGGTTCTCTCTCTTCCAAAATCATTTGCAAGGCCCTCTGAGCAGAGAATCTTTTGGCCATCTTGATCAGTTGTGATAAGGACCCAAACTGGCGAAGCTTTATTTATTGTGTCTTGCCCCAAATTTGCAGCTTAGATAGAGTGTGAAAAAAATAAAGATTGGTTCCCGCAAGACATAATGCGGGAATGTGAGAGCAGACAGGTGTCGGTGCTTGAATTGATCAACAATGTTGCAACCTTGTGCGGGAATGGCAGGGGCAGAAACACAAAAGTCTCACACACACACACACACACACACACACACACACACACACACACACACACACACACACACACACACACACACACACACACACACACACACACACACACACACACACACACACACACACACACACACACACACACACACACACACACACAGAAGGCCCAGACAGGTGCACAGGACCTACAATTTCCACACTTTTGTTAGCCCCATCCTGTATGTAATGTAAATGTGTAGGGGGGGTGTACAGTGGGTGGTCATTGAAAATGTGTTCTGATATATGTTCTTCACAGAAAATGAGCCAAGGCCATTGAGTGTGGGTTTGAAAAAATAATTTATCATATCATTTTTCTTTAGCTAAATAATGAAAACGGGTCCCACAGACCCGAACACCATACAAGGGTTAAGGTAGAGTTGATCCACAGAGGACTAAGAGTCATGGCAGGTGCCATGTTGTTACATAACAGCAGCACTGCTGGCTCAGCCCGCAGGAACTCATGGTGTTCTGTTAATCACGTGCCTTCTTCTGCCGTGGCGTGTGCTCGAATATAAGAGTATGCTGAGGACATTTTCCGTATCATGTTGATATTGTGTTATTCTGACACTGTGGATGTGGGTCTGTCTGTATGTGTGTTTCAGGAGTGGAAAGATGGCCTGGCCAGCCCTGAGGACCTGTCACCGGCTACACTACAGTCCCCCAGCTACATCACTGACTCCATGATTGGCTGCACGTCACTGCCAAACACCCAGGTCTGACACAATCTCCCATATTATCTTTTTCACATTAAGTAGCTAAAATACGTAGTGGTTTTTGATAGGAAGCCAGATTACTTACTGTAAGTGTACCACTTTTTTATGGAATCAATTTATTGGCTATCATGAAAATTGAACTATAAGGAGAAGTCAATTTTAAATGCATTTATGGTTATTACTAAAGGTTAATTTGAGCTCACAGTAATATTTTCAGTGAGGAGGACCCATCCTTGTGGGGAGGTGACATCAGTACTGTTTGTCTCCTTGGCCCTACAGCCAGATCTGGAAATGACTACCTCTACTTCTGCAGGCATAGTTAAAGTACCAAGCAAAACAAACAGGCAGAAGCGCTTCTTCACCAACCACACACACATGACCACAGATGCAAATATAACTATATATATATATAGACCCATGCATATAGACATTACACACACACATGTAAGGGAGTCTAAAAGAATACAAAGCTCTTTCTCAGAGAAGATCGATGCTCCAGAGGTCCAGAGGGCAGAGCTTGACAGCGACCTGTGTGATGCATGACTCACATTCAACACGTTACAAAAGGACATGCCTGGAGATGAATAGGATGTAGCACAACACCACAGATGTGATGAAAGATGACTCTACTTCTGTGACAAAGAACGCTGTGTGTGCACTTTTATTCCCCATCAAACACTTTGAGCCAGTAGCTGGTGGCAAAGAGGCGTCTTCAGTTACAGTAGATGATCAGAGGGTCCCTTTTTGCTTTGAGATGGAAGCATGGCAGAAACTGGGATATGCATGAATCATCAGTGCCTTAGCACTCTCAATACACAGTTAAACAATAATGATATCCGAGCTACTGAGCATTGTGATGTGCATCATGATGGTGAATTGAAACCAGAGCACTTAAATCATAATTTTAGCCTCAACAACACATCAAAAGCCATTCATACGATTACATTAGAGGGATGAGGTCAATGCTTTGGTGTTCTTACTGCCAGTCTTTGAAGAGACAGTGAGGGGGCTGTGAGGTAGAGAGAGAGGTAGAAAGATCAAATTATCAAGGTCAGTCATCTGAGGTGGTTTTTGTCTCTGTACCCCACCTTCAATGGCCTTGTGTCCAGTATTTTTATTTCTCTTTTCCTAACATCGTGATTCTCTAATCTCACAATCACAGAAGAACATCGTTTTTGATGAAATATGTATTTGGTTAATGGAAAGGACTTGTGATTGGACGTCAGATCCAAATATTTATTAAAAAGCTTTTCCTGACAAACAATTTGTACAGTCTGTCATGGATTAAAACAACAAATTACGTAGGAACATTTTCTCCGTGAAATAGTGAATAGTGCTGTTATTGTTATAGTGCTCCTTCATGGCACTATAACCATACCTTAGATTTACACTTGCATTTTATGCTTTTACATCAGTTTCATGTATAACATCACAGCCAATGCCAAAAATAAAAATATTAAATTTAAATATTTTAATATCACTTAATACTGCTGATTTGATGCCTTGTAAAATACTTAAATAGATTAACAATGTTTTAACCTAAATAAACTAAGGTAGGTTCATGACTTAAAGGGGACCTATCATGCAAAATGCACTTTTGTACGTCTTTTATACATGAATATGTGTCCCCGGTGTGTCCGGGAACTCACCAAGTGTCAGAAAACACAACCCTCTCTCTTTTCCTCCATACCCAAATCTCTAAAACGGGGCTGCAACGGATCTGATACAGATTTGAAATTTTTCTGATGTCAGAAACAAGGAGCTCCGCCTATATGGGCAACTCTCCACCTATCAGGGGAATGAGAGGTTGCGTGGCATGGTAACAGCATGGTAACAGCATGGTAACAGCATGGTAACAGCATGGTAACATGACGCTCGTGCCTCGCCCCCCTCCTTTGCAGGGGGCCGTGGTCAGCTGCAGCTCATTTGCCACAAAATCAGCCCTTGTGAAGACAGGGCTGGAATAGAGCAAATAGAGCGAAATGAGGCATGGCTAAAATGCATGATCTGTTTGGTATTTTGAAAAAAAAACTTCACAGACATGTTTTATATAGGTATGGCCCTACAATATATTATTCAAATATAGCATGATAGGTCCACTTTAAACATTCTGCTCTTAAACAAAGAAAAGAGAAAAACCTTTTTAACATTTTATTGATTTTATTGCGTGAATCTTAAGATTTGATGACCCATAGACCTTTCAGATTATTAGAAAAAGTAATTTCCCAAACCCTGCTTGTGTTTGAGGGAATTGTTAGGGTGTTATTTTTTCACTTTTGAATCTCCACATAAGCATGACCTCAGCTTGTTCTAAAAACTTGCAACAGAGAGACGGGGGGATTTTCTCCTGTGGGCTTTGCCACGGCACATCTGGAAATGATCAGGGAGCCGGGGAGACCTGTCAGCCGGGCTGCAGCACTCCGAGCAGGGCAAGACGAGATGGGGGAGCGAGGGTCTTTGTGGAGCCTGTCTGTCTCTCCCTACTCCCCTGCCTCTCTACATAGCTACAGTCTGTCTCTTTCATGATCTCTCTCTCTCACACTTCACTTTGACAGATAAAAAGCTCACACCTTGTAGACGCCAACAAGTTCCTAATGGAGATGGCAGGTGAACAAATTGAACCGGGCCAGACGGGAAAAGGAGAACGTTTTGTAGCTTTTTCCATTTGCTTATATGTCTATCTACCCAATCTATGTGTTTATTTCTCCATGAGGCAGCCGCCTGCCAGGGGAGTCTGAGGGATTAGGTGTGTGTCTGTGGTGTGTGTGCAGGTTTGTGTATGTGTTTAAGGTGGGGAGGTTTTGCTTGACTTGGACAATAGGACGCAGGGATTTAGTTGAAGACAGACGGCTGCTCCTATAAGTTTGCACTGTCAGGAGAGAGTGAATAGCCAAAAAAGAACCGGCTTAGAAGCATGGCTTAAAATAGAGGGAAGATGCAATCGTTCAGACTGATGACTGTGAGTCATTGTGCCACCCAGAAAAAGGGGATAAGTGTGCTTGTAGTGTGGAGAAATAGGTTACGTAAACTTGAGGGTCTTGCGTGCGTTGAGTTAGTGGTGATTTAGTTTCGGCAGGCTTTGTTGCAGCATGCACAATGACTCTATATTTGCTCCAGGACCCCCACAGGAAATGATATCAATTCCAGGAAAAAGCAAGAAAAGGAGGTCATGTACATACCGCATGAACACAATCGATTACGTTACCTTGGGTATTCCATCGACTGTAGTAGCTACAGAAATATAACAAAAAAAACATGTGATGTATTTACCAATGGGTTTGAATCCTCAGGCGGAAAAACAAGAAAATAGAACTTATTATTTCACTCATAAATAAGAATTGTAATTGTCAGTAAAGGGCAGTTATTATATTCCTCTGACACCCAAACTCCATCAATAGCCTTCACTGCTTTATTTATTATTGTCTGTATCCATGCAGCTGGTTGCTCCTCAAACTCTTTTATCTTTTAATCTCTTTCTCTCCATCCATCTGTGCCTGATGTGCACAGCACAGATCATTAACGTTGACAATCTGAATCTGATCTTCTTATCATTCAATCTCTGTTCCTCATGTCTCTCTGCTCTTTCTGGTCACCTTGGCAACCTGCATCATTATCTGTTCTCTGCCGCTCTTTATCTCCCCTTGCTTACTTTATTCCTGGCATGATACCCATTACTGCCACAGGACCTTTGACAAACACTTTTCTGTCTTTCTGTCTGTCTGTCTTCAGGACACTGAGTCCACCAGTGTGTTGCCAGATGACAGCGGCTCGGTCTTGATGGACGACACCTCCAGCCAATGGTCAACCGCGGCTGACACTGAGGAGGAGAGGAGGAGTGCCTTTGAGAAAAGCACGTATGTAATGTATCCTTTTATAATATAATATCCCTCATGATAATCCTCATGGCAGCCCTATGTCTTGTCTTTAAAAGCTGTTTATTTTCAATATTTGTTAAATGTTATGTTACGGAGCAAAATCTGTTGCTAAAAGCTAGTTAGTGGACATTAAGTTTTGATCATTTCTTGAAACTATTATTTCCTGGATTACACATACTTCAATTCAGCATGTTTGCATGGTCTGCTTAACACATGTTGGTAAAACTCATTTATTAGATTTCTCTAATTGAATGTTTACCAGTGGGACACTTTCTCCATTGTTCCTGTAACTAGTATCATATTACATTTCCAGGAAACTATAAAATGAATCACGTCCTTATTAGCAAAACTATTAGGAAAGTGTGACACGTATAAAAAATGTTAACAAAGTTTTTGAAGTGGACTTAACCACTAATTCTGCATCATTTGTATCTCTACAGGTATGTACTGCAAGAGCTTATTGAGACAGAGAAGCACTATGTGGTGGACCTGGGACTCATAGTGGAGGTAAATCTGCAGTCTGACTGCCAGCATGAAACACAAAATCTGCCCTGACAGAGAAGAGGAAACTGAGTCATCCACCTAGCCTGTCAGAGCGAAAACCCAAAATCCCTATCACCTTAATGACTTTCTTTCCACATTTCCGTCTGCCTCCATCCTGCTGACTCCAGTTTGAAGCAGATTTTGTGAATTATTAGCTTGAAGAGTATTATGTTGCAAGACGATCCATCTCCCGGGTGCCTTAAATAGCTGGAGATATTTTGGTTCAGAGAATAATTCTTGCACTCTAAAACTTTTATAGACACTCAATAATATCTGTCGTGAGATTGTGCCAGGTGTTGTGTGTGTGACAGATCTGTCTTTTCCTTGCAGGGCTACATGGGAACAATGCAATCCAAAGGTATTCCGGAGGACATGAAGGGAAAAGACAAAATTGTTTTTGGGAACATTCACCAAATATTTGACTGGCATAAAGAGTAAGTCCCTGAGTCTTTTTAATACATTTGAAGTGGAAAATGATATGGTTGCTCCAGTTCCAATCCAAACAAAAGACAGTGATTTGCACAGCATTATGTTTGTGGCTGAATGGAGGACAAAGGAACAATAGGTCAGGAGACAAATCTGACCTTTCCTTTTGGGGATGCTCTTGCCTGTGTGTGTGTGTGTGTGTGTGTGTGTGTGTGTGTGTGTGTGTGTGTGTGTGTGTGTGTGTGTGTGTGTGTGTGTGTGTGTGTGTGTGTGTGTGTGTGTGTGTGTGTGTGTGTGTGTGTGTGTGTGTGTGTTGTGTGTGTGTGTGTGTGTGTGTGTGTGTGTGTGTGTGTGTGTGTGTGTGTGTGTGTGTGTGTGTGTGTGTGTGTGTGTGTGTGTGTGTGTGTGTGTGTGTGTGTGTGTGTGTGTGTGTGTGTGTGTTTTCTCTCTCTAGCTACTTCCTGGGAGAGCTGGAGAAGTGTATAGCGGAGCCAGAGAGGCTGGCCCAGCTCTTCATTAAACACGTGAGTTCTAAGATGGACTAGACACACACACACACACACACACACAGGTGTGGAGGTGTCTAGATCTCCTTCCTTGTGTTGTTTGGCGCGAGGGTAAATAGAGCTAAGAAAAACATTCATTGCTCCTGTTTATCCTACACCATACGTCTCTCCATCTCTCTCAACTGACTGCCAGCGTCTCTCCTTCCATTTCCCTGTTACTGATACGTCTCAGCCCAGGCTCTGTTTTTACAACAGTGCACACGGCAAACACTCACATACACACACAGCAAAACACTGGCCAATTTCCAGTCTGGGCTGGACTGGTCAGGAAACACAAGACCACATGAACACGACAAAAGAAAAACAAACTCTCAGCTTAGTCTCTTTGATATGAAGGCTTTTTTTTCACCCAAAACGACCACAAACTCCTTTTTAAATATCCTTGCTCAGGAATGAAGCAAAGGGATGCATGCAAAGAAAGATCCACTGTTAAGAACATTGTTCTTAGAATAGAATGGGTGGCATGGGGTCACAGGGCTTACACAGGGTGCGAAATTAGATTGGTTAAGGGGTGGCACATGCAGATGGGGCAGACATGATGGGTAATTTGACCCACTTGTCTTTCTTGTCTGAAGATGCTTAAGTCAAATGTGTGTGTCTCCCTTTTGCTATATTCACTCTGTCTGTCTGTAGCTCTTCAAACAATTCAATAAGCCTGAGCCCACTGGATAATTCACTTAAAAAGCCTGTGGGGGAATAAAGAAACTTGTAACTAAATCTAAGCATGGTGTCAAACTGTGAAAACAAGCAGACAGGGAACATGGCTCTAATGAAATGCAGAAAGCCCAATCTGCTTTTAACGAGAGCTGTGACACCAATACGCAACATGTGTGCTCGCTCACATACATGCATCACATAAACACATGTAAACACTCACCCCAGGCTAGTATACTGGATGCTGGTAGACAGAATACTCATATTTCACATGCAGCCGTCCTCTGCAGTGTTACACGATGTCCATATTCAGGTGGAGCCGCTCACTGGTCTCTAGGTAACAGAGCCATGCAGCGTGTTGCTAGGTACAGCCTTATATTGGCAGTCTCTAAAAAGCTCTGGTTACACTTAGGGTAACCTGGGTGAATTATACATAACCCCATGCTCATCTACATGTAACTCCATTAGGACTCTCAGGACTGCCACATCCTCACTTCCATGCCAATTACGCACAGGAGAGAAAGCGCTTACCCAACTGAGTCAGCTTCAAAGGCCCCCCCCCGCTCTCCGAGACAAATCATTATGCTCTGCTCTACACTGCACATAGATCGTTGTCCTGTTTTCCGCTAACATTTACTTTATTTGCAATGTTTATTTATCTGTATTGCATATACAAATAAAATGTTGTGACAAGGAAGTTTCCCTTTGTCGCTTATTTGTATCAAAGATTCAAATGCATGGTTTTGTCATCTGATGTTTGTTTGGCTTGTATTGCAGGAGAGGCGTCTGCATATGTACGTAGTATACTGTCAGAACAAGCCCAAGTCCGAACATATTGTCTCAGAGTACATCGAGACTTACTTTGAGGTGAGTATTTCATTCAAATTAGTAGTTTTGGTTCCGTCAGAAAAAAGTTAAAAAAGCTCCTAGATTCAAAGATTGCATCTTCAAATGGCCTGCTTACATTACATTACATGTCACTTGTTAGACGCTTTTACCCAAAGCGTACATACATACATTCAATACTGTGGGCAATCCCCACAGGAGCAATTTGGGGTGAAGTGTCTTGCCCAAGGACACAGCAACATGCTGACTGCAGTGGGATTTGAACCAGTGTCCCCTTGATCCAAATACCCTCCTGTTTTGTGAACAACAGTCCAAAACCCCAAAATATTAGATTTCCATCAAAGTCTTACATATGAGGAGCTATAGCCAGCAAATATTTTGGATTGCATACCTTTTATAATAATGAAATGTTTATTCAAAGCTACATTGAAGGTTGAATTACTTATTGATGCAGGTCAAACACTGTAGATGTGCCTGTAGTTACTATGCCCTTTAGTATGCACGTACTGTATGTCTAACTGTTTATTTGCTATATACTGTATTATACATGACCCTTTAGTTGTCTTTCCATCTGCCATTTATTATTGAGATTGTAATCAGTTCCTTTTCATTGACAGTAAACACATGACTATTAGATAAACAGTATAATCCCCGTGATATATTCTCTAAGAATGATTATATTGGCCGTTAGCTGCTGCGTTTGCTGCGGCTGTCATGTTGACTCGTGTTGTTGTGTCCGTCTCTTCTGACAGGAGTTGCGACAGCAGCTGGGCCACAGGCTGCAGCTCAACGACCTGCTCATCAAACCTGTCCAAAGGATCATGAAGTACCAGCTGCTGCTCAAGGTGAAAAGCAGGGCACACACCAACACATACACACACACATACTGCTGTTCACTGTGCAGCTGTCTGACACATCGCTGGTCTGTTACAGCATTGTAAACACACAAGCACGCACACAAACACGCACACAAACACGCACACAAACACGCACACACACCCCACTGTGCAGGAACAGTGACGACACACCGGCTGCTTTCAGGCTACTTTCCATCCAGAGAGGAAGAGGCAAATTACATAATGAGATTCTTCCCATAATATTTAAGCAATAATACGTCAAAAAAGTCTTTAAAGAGGATCATAAAATGACATCCTTGGTATAAAACGTTTCTTTGATATAAAAAGTTGAACTTTGGCAATCAAATGAAAGGTGGGTTCAACCCCATAAATACTCATCCAGATGTCCACACCTTACTCTGAGCAGTAAACCTGGAATGCTCTGGTGACCATGCTGTGTTTATTTGAGCAGGACTTCCTGAAGTATTACACCAAAGCCGGGATGGACACGGAGGAGTTGGAGGTGGGTGTCCTGATTCCTAAATATAAGGTTTAAGGTGTGCAAAGCTATGCCTTTTATGAGTATTCCTGCTAATAAACTCACTTTTTTCTTTTAAACAGAAAGCAGTGGAAGTGATGTGCTTCGTGCCAAAACGCTGCAACGACATGATGAATGTGGGCAGACTACAAGGCTTCGAGGTAAGACTAAGGAGTTAAGACCATCCTTCAAAGTCTTCAAAACATTTCTCATGCCAACTATTTAGCCTGTAACTGTAACCACTTCCTCGGTTTGTTGTGTTTATCTTTGCTGTGGCTCCAGGGTAAGATCACAGCCCAGGGGAAACTGCTACAGCAGGACACCTTCACTGTGACCGAGCAGGACAGTGGCTTCTTGTCCCGAGCCAAAGAAAGACGGATCTTCCTGTTTGAGCAGCTGGCCATCTTCAGTGAGCCAATCGACAGGAAGAAAGGGTTTTCCCTCCCTGGGTACATCTTTAAGAATAGCATCAAGGTGGGCGCCTCAGATCAGCTAAAGCAGCTTTAGAAAAATAGGAAAGTTCTTCTAACTCCCAGGTTATTCACGTCATACTAATCCACAGAGATGGCAAAAGTACACACACCCTTTACTCAAGTAGAAGTACAGATACTCGTGTTTAGAAATACTAGAAGTAGAAGTACTGACTAAACTTCTTCACTCAAGTAAAGTAAAGAAGTATGGGCTTCGAAATGGACTTAAGTAAAAGGTACCCGTAACTACCATCTGTTTTATAGAGTAACTGACCTCCAATTATATTAATAGAACAATAATGTCATTGTTAGCTAATGAATGTTTCGATGCTGAACAACGGCAAAATGACAAAGTTCTCATTGGTCGCTCTTGTTTAGTGAAGACCAGGAAATGATGGATACACGGATCGTGTTAAAATCGGCACGCAATGACTCTAAATAATAATGATCACGCCACCAAACGCAGATTAAAACTAAAGTAACTAACCTGTTTTGAAAATGTAAGAAGTAAAAGTACAGGTATTTGTGTTAAAAGTGTAAGAAGTCAAAGTAAAAAGTCGTCAGAAAAATAAGTAGTGGAGTAAAGTACTGATACCAGAACAATGTACTTAAGTACAGTAACAAAGTATTTGTACTCCTCTACTTCCCATCTCTACATCATCTCAGAGCAGGCACTTTTTTGAGGTTGCATGTGTGAGCGAAGCATTTAACAAGCAACTCGGCAGGATGCACTCTTCACAGATGCTTATCCGATGTGATGTGTTCCAGGTGAGCTGCCTCGGGGTGGAGCCCAGCGTGGAGGGAGATGACGGCCGCCTCGTGCTGACATCACGCAACCCTGACGGCAGCGTGGTGCGCTTCCAGCTGCTGGCCTCTTCCCCTGAGATCTGCAGGGCCTGGGTCAACGATGTGGTTCAGATCTTGGACAGCCAGCGCAACTTCCTCAATGGTTAGACCCAGCTGAACTCTGAAGATTACACAACATCCCACGCCATTTATCCATAAATCATAATTCATCCTGGCATATATTTCATCCTTCCATATATAGACTTAAGTGCACTTATGAATCAGTGTAAGATGAGAGGAGTTTTTTAGTTTGACCATGTATTGTGGCCTTTGGAAACCCATTCCTGCCCCCGTTCCAAGAGAATTATAAAAATAAAAATGTCATGGTCAGTCAACATAATGAGATTCAATGTCAAAATTGTCTAATAGTACTTTATTTATACTCCCTTTTCAATGTTTATAAGCAGTTTACAAAGATGTACATCACATAACAATCTAGTTGTTAGCAGACTCAGTGTTAATGAATTATAATTCACAAGTAAAATATGCCTCCATAAAATAAGTCATAATTATTGATGTAAAAACTGCACATTAATAAACCTTAATGTCCTTATCTGCCTTTACCCGCACAATATAAATATGAATGTCAATGCAAAATAAACGGGATGAAGTAAACTGACAAAATAAATGTTGAATCCACATGACACAATGCTTTGTAAAATGTTCAGAATCAGGTACAGATCATTGTTTTGTTTTTTGTACTGTTTTTGTTTCTGATTTTATGTAAAGCGTCTTTGAGCACTAGGAAAAGCGCTATAAAAATCAAATTTATTATTATTATTATTATTATTATAAGCACTGTCTATGTTTCTGTGTGTGTCCTTCAGCCTTACAGTCACCCATTGAGTACCAGCGACGAGAGAGCAAGTCTAATAGCCTGGGCCGCAGCATGAGGCCCCTGCTGTCTGCTGCCAGCGCCCTGCGGCCCCATTCCTCCGCCTCCATTGACCGCCATAAGCTGCCATCCCTTCACTCTCACAACACCTCCCTGCCCACACTCTACCTGCCCAGCCAAGGCCAGAACCAAGGACCCATCGAGACCTACGCACTGCGGGAAGTAGGTTTCTTTAGCTGTCTCCTTCTGTGCCCTATACTGTGACAATGTTCTGCTGCGTCTGCCCACTCAAACACAGTATTTCTATTTATGAGACACCTGAGACACAGCCAGGCCCGTTATCTCTGAAAGGTCTCCTATTATACTATTTTTAACATATATTATAGGTCTCAGATATATACAAATATATAGAAAACATGTCTATGAAGTGATTTTCTCAAAATACCAAACAGATCACCCATTCTAGCCATGCCTCATACCCCTCTATTTCAGCCCTGTTATGCCCCTTTCACACCAACGCGGTTCCAGGGACGGATCGGAGCTAGAGCCTGATAAGCACCGGTTTTTCCTGTTCACACCGCAGCGGAGCCGGCTCTAAGCACCGAAAACCGGTGCTTACCAAGCACCAAAACATTTTCGGTCTAGAAGCAAGAACCGCATTCGTCACGCTTACGTCGGAGGCGAGGGCAGGGGCAGGATCAACCTGAGCAATAACAGTTTATGGCGAGTAGTACGGCAAATGAAAGTTGTAACCAGCAGTAGCGCTGAGCAAAGTGACTAGAAGGCAACCACACACTTATTAAAAAAAAACACGCTTTATAAAGTCAGGCAACACTAACCAGGCTTCGTGTGGTTCTGTTTATTTGTAACTTACTTTGACCATCCGTTCGCTGTTATTGATCATTGTGGAGAGCAGGCAGACGTTTTGTTTTGTATTATAGCAGCTATCGGATGGAATCAATACATGGGCTGCACAGATTGTCATGTCCGACTATCACAAGTAGAATCATAATGAAAAATACGCCGGTAAAATGTGCCTGTAGAAAACGGCTTATGCCACAATAGGATAGCAACAAGTAGTCAAGATAGTCAGTTTAGCTTCGGTTGCTATGCTAACATCACCCATTTTATACCAGAGAAACTTTCATAACAGCGTTGTAATGCCAAACAGCATCAATTCAGACTGACACACATTCACTTATGGGGAATTGGGGATATGTATCAGCTGCTTGTGCGACAGTCAGACAGTGAATACTTTACAGCGGCCGCTGCCGTGTGAGCTAACCCGGAGCTAACGGGAGAATAAACTCTGGTGGAAGAGCAGCACTGCAGCGGTCGGTAAATGCCGCTGAAACACATTAATAAACAATGAACCACGGCACTCTGGAGAAAAGTATAAGGGTTGAGAAGTAGTTATTTAATTGAATCTGGCTTCGTATGATTAAAAGCAACACGATCATCGACCCGACGGTGTTGGGGAGAAAATCAGCGACGTAAACGGTGACGTCATGACGCAGCCGCGGCAGCACCAGTCGGGCTCTGGGCGGTGTGTGAACAAAACGGGGGCTGAAAAGAAAAACCGGTTCCGAACCAGAAGAGCACAAGCACGGAGCTAGAACGGGAACCGCGTTGGTGTGAAAGGGGCATGAGAGAAGTGCTGATTCTGGGTCCGTAGCTTTAAAATATATATATATAGAGATATGGGTATATAGGAAAAAACCTGAGGGTTTTGTTTTTTGACACACCGGGGACACATATTTATGTATAAAAGACATACAAAAGTGCATTTTGCATGATAGGAGACCTTTAAGCTTTTGACTGGGCGGCTGTACTGTCACATATATGGGATAATTAAAATAACAAATGATATTGTGTGCATGCACTACAGTGTTGCTGAGTGACTTACCTGTTGTTTGCCTCTGCAGCCCACCCTGGTCCAGCCGTGCCCTGCTGACTCCACCACTGTTTCTCTGTCACATGTCCAACTGGGCTTCACTGATCAGCCAAACTGTCAAGCTGTGTCAAATGGGATGTACACACCCACCACACAAAGTGCACAGGTAGTGTATACACATGCATATAGAGACTAAGCTGTGAATACGATATCCTTTCAACTGTAATTATTTCAGAGCTAAACTGGGTGCTCCTGGGTTGTATCGCAGCCATTATTCAACACCAGCAGTGGGATGATTAATGACAAAACAAGCCACAGGAAGTTAACCACACAGGGAATAATGGGCTATTGTTCAACATCTTACCATCGTTCCACTGTGCTCATTAGGGTAATTAAAAGATGAAAGACTAATAAATGTTAACCATTTATTAAGACACAAATACAGTGAAGGGTTTTTTGAATCATAAGAAGAGTTCAGTCAGACAACTCACGTGTTTCTTTAACATGTTTATTAGAAGCAGCATATAGTTGAGTTTGGCGTCTAGGCTCGGGCCTCATCACTCCACAGATATACATAGCACGATGAGTGATGATTAAATAACTAACCCCCCGAGCCTACAGGTGGAAGCTGGGGTGGAAGCTGGGGTGGAAGCTGGGGTGATGGTGGGGCAGGCAAGCAGCAGCGACGTGGAAGTAGCTGCAGCAATAGCAGCAGCAAGCAATGCATAGAGAGATATCTGGCAGGTTAAATAGAGCGGCTTATTAAGGAGACTCTGTTTGGTTGGTTGGTTGTAGAGTGGCAAGGGGCGTTATGTATGAATGCAGCATAAGTGCTCGAGTTGACTGCCTGAACTAGCTCGCAGGCTTCGCCCCATTTATTTCTCCCCCTATTGGATCGATAAATATCTGGAAAGTTCTGAAGGAAACTGATGAACTTTTAGCTGTGCTGGTTTCAGTTAGTTGAATACAAAGACGGGAAATTACCACATCTCTGTTTTACACAAAATACAACAAGGTTCCATTTCACGCCTGTCTGCCTTTACCCTGTAGTTTTAACCATCTGGCCAGTCAATAATGGCAGCATCCTGTTGTTGGGCTCTACATTACCATTAGTGACGTCTCCCTCTGTCATCACTGGGCTGATGTCCTCAGTGTTGACAGCCCATCGGTTGTTGTTCTCCATACTTCTCGCTGGATAGGCTCGGTACATAATAAACAGGAAGCGAACTGAGCCAGACGAGGAAGTCAGAGAGAGATGCCTATCAAAGCCAGAAAATGGTTTCCCATACTTGTGCTGGGATGAAAGGACGGACCTGGGCCAATGCATTTTCAGACTGCAGCTTTAATTGGAAAATTGCGTTAAACTAAGTTTCGTGTTTGGTATAAAAGTGAACCTACAGTATTATGAGTGAACATGTGCAGTACATGGAAGTACGTTGTGATGAATGTTCCCTCTATCCCCAGCAGAGAGCAGGAGAGGGCTGCCGGAGGGGGCCGCCTGCTGATGCTGGGAGCCAGGCTCCACTGTCGGGCCCCTCAGCCGGACGTCGCCCCAGCAACCTGGCTCAGCTTGCCGAGGACGACCTATGAACTCTGAGGCTCTCTGTCTCCTGGGGCAGGAGGACAGCAGCTAACGCCACAACTGAGGAGACACGAATACTTCTCCACTGTCTGTTAATGCCAGGCTGGACCCTTACCTGGTTCAGTCATAACTTATGGAGGATACTGAAGGAACCTGAGGGAACATATGAAGGAATTATGGGCTGAAACTATGAAATTACTTTTTTAGGGAGCCATTCAATGGGCAGCCTTGGCCACTTTTGAGTGTCCATGGACAGTACCCACTACCCAGTGGTACTGGACTGGTATGACAATTTGTGCTTTCTACCTTTTTGAGAGATTGAATATCTTCTCTCTTTCAAAGGGCAAGGGGAATTTGTTTGATGAAGAAATATCCATTCCTATTTGGGGCGGTCACTGGAGTTACATGTGTGCCTGAATGTTTGTTTATGCAACAATGTGTGGATGTGTTTGTAAGCATGAAAGTGTGCAAGGAGTGGCAGTAGCTCCTATTGTATCTTTGGTAAATATCCTTCATAAACATGTTTTTTTCTGATGCCCCATTGTGAAGACAAGTACAGCCACATTACTACATTTTGTCATTCCCCTGCTGACAACTGCTGTTTGTGTTGACAAGAATAGGAAAAGCAGAACACTTGATTTGAACACGCCAGTGGAATTTCATCTGAAAGTGAAGAAGTTTCTGTCTTGCTACATAGCTGAGAGCTCCTGGGTGCTCTCTTATTCTGTTTGACCGGCCCTCGTTTGATCTGGACAAAAAAGGCGTGAGTGAGCCCCCTAGAGGTTCTCTGTGGGAATGACGTCACTTCAGAATACTTTTTCTCTCTTTGGGCTACTCCTGAGGAGTTGCGAGATACAGTAGGTGCATTCAAAGGGACTGCTGTGCTGACCCAAAGTGTTGCATGAAACATCTCTGTTGTGATTGACTGACACAATGCTGCTTTACACAGATCTTTCGTTCTAGGCAGAAGTAGAGAACCTGTGGTTTTGGGGGAAAACACCCTTAAAAGTGCATTGGTTTAAACTTATATGAATTGTTTTATTAGTCCACTGTTGTCATGTCAAGGCTGTGCACCATTTCTATAATCTCTGTTTAGCTTTTGCCCTCATGGACTAAATACTGTACAGTGCATACCATAAAGGAAATCATACATTTCCACTTGTAAGATGAAGAAAGACCCTGGTATGCCAAGAAGTGTTACCGTTTCAGCTGGTTAAAAGGAAGGATAAGATGCTGGATAAACAGAGTGATGCTGATGGATCTGCATGCTCTTCCTCAGACAACAGTGCCAAAAAACAGTAGCTCGCCACTCAAGTATTTCATGCTCTTACTTATAGTTCAGTTTGCCTGTACTCTTACAAATCAATCATAGACATATGTGTTACTATCTGGATCGTAACGCCTAAATCACACAGAGGGAAGCAAGTAAATAAATGAGGCTATTTAGTCACTATATAAACGTTCTTCTCTGTGGCCAGTAGAGGTCCCCACAAGGCTTTCACTTCCAGTTAAGTTAGATCATACAGCTGCACCAAAGATCAAGAGGCCTCATGTTTCAGTGCTCACAATCAAGCAAAAGCTGCTCAATGATCTGTCCAGAACCCAGTAATAAACTACATCAAATGAACTGAAAGGTGAGATATGAGTGGAACCATCTCACTAAATACATCTGAAGTTAATGTAAACTGTCTGTTTCATGGGAATGACTGATCAGGCAGTTTTTCTTTATTACAAAGCAAAGCCATTACGGAGAACCAGAAAGACACCAACACCAGGAGAGGGTTTGCGAATGCCATCATGTTTGACTGACTGTTGTATCATATCAAATAAAAAGTCTTTATGAAAATGGGTGTGGTGTTTATGTGTCTCTCTAAATTTCTCAAATCTAAAATAACTGCTTTTATTGCCCACAGAGACGTATCTTTGTGTGGCTGTGGATTTTTATATTCTAAGGTAATACTATTATCTGACACATACTCAATGTTTTCATTTCGTATTCATTTAACTAAAAGTGCAACTAAAGTATGTATTAGCCATAGGCCATGGTCCTCTGACTCTACCTTTGGGAACCTCTGACGAAGACAAAGGCAATGCATTTTGCTTGCTGTAGCATCCCCCTTGCAGAAAGTTCAAACAGGATTAAAAACAAAGAGAAGAAACCCCTGGATGAGCAGACATCTGGTTGGCTGGCCTCTGAATAAAGCCCCTTTCTGGGCAGTAAAGCAAGGCCGATCGTAACACGGCTGTGATATATGGAGGAGGGGGGGAAGGGGTATTAACTTTCACAAGGGTGCAAAATCAAAGGGAGTTCCTGTCACCACTGAGGGGGTCTCAGCAACAGGGGTCCCATTCACAGGGAATTCCTCTCCAGTGCCCTCTGTTGCATCTGTTGACTCAATCTTCTCCATTGAGAGAAAGAAAACACTCATTAAAAGCCACATGACTGTGAACTTGATTGCAGCAGGCGAGACAAACCCCATCAATGGATCGAGTATTTACTTTGAGGTGTGAAAATCTTTGAACAGCCCACCATGTTAGGGCTTCTTTAGGAGCTTCTTCCTTCACACCAACAGAACAAAGGCAGCATTTGTATTCTGAATGCCATCAGATTATCATTTAAATAAAATGTTAGATCTTTAGGAGCTCCGGGGCATCGGAAATTCACACGTTTACTGAATGGAGGGTAAGAGGGTAAAAAACGTTCACTGTCAGTCACAGATACTGTATTTAAAGGTAAGACAATAACATAATTGGAAACAGTGTACGTTTCAGCAAAGACAATATTTATTAAAATGTACATGCGGCCATAACCATAATAAAATTGTTCATGATATTTATACATAATTTACAAAGAATTGAAACATTTAAAATGTTTGCTAATCTGAAGCCGTGGTACTTCACAGAAATCTGTAGATCAAAGACTTACATTTCAAAAAAGATCCTACCTTGAAGCTGACAAATTAGGGTTTGTTTTGGAGAAAAAAAATCGAATTAACAGCAACAGAAGCTCTTTCCATTTTAAACCTGTTCTCAAGAGCAGAAATTATAGTTTTTTATTCAGCAACCTTCTGCTGTAAGGCATACATTTATTTTGAACATGATAATATGGACATATTAAGGTAAACCTTGTGGAACTCGCTTATGTCTGGCACATCCTTCACAAAATATTTACAACATTAATGTTTAAGATTTTTCCATTTTTCCATCAGTTCAAATTTAAACAAGTATTATTTATTTAAGGCATAATACCTTTCTTGGTTCAGGAAGAATTGTTTTTTGTGGCATTTTGAAGTAGACAAAATTCAGCACAACTCTTGAAATATCACTGAAAAAGAACTTCAATTAATCTTTAAAGCTGCCTTGCCTCAAAAAGAACATGACAACCTTTTTAAAGATGGTCTCTAAATATATTTTCATGGTACTACTTGAAGTCAAACGTAGGGCTTCGACAACAGAAGATGTGCGGGGAGGTTGATGCTCACCCTCTAGTGCAAACCTATGGCAGTAAGTGTAACACAGTCTGTTCATAGTTGATTATTATTGTGGAATGATGGATGACTCTCTCTTGATATTGGTGAGCAGCGGGTCCGTGCTCTGTGAAGGCTGCGCAGACCGGCTCTTCCTGGTCTGGTGGGTCTTCACATGTTTGGAGAGGTGGTCACTCCTCATGAACCTCTTGCCGCACTGCTGGCACCCAAAGCGCTTCTCCCCGGTGTGTGTGCGGAGGTGCCGCTGTAGCTCGTCTGAACGGGTGAAGCTTTTCCCGCAGAAGAGCCAGTTACAGATGAAGGGCCTCTCCCCGGCGTGCCAGCGCAGATGTGCCTTGAGGTGAGAGGTCTTCTTGTACACTTTGCCACACTCTGGGATGTGGCAGATGTGCAGTCTCTTCTTTCCAAACTCTAACCCCCCTCCATTTGCCTGGCAGTTGGGGCACTTGCAGCGGCGGCAGCGGCGTGTGGAGCTCAGGAGGCCCTTGGAGGTGCCTTGGAGAAGAGCAGCTATCTGTGGCTGGTGGCCCAAAACCAGCTGTCTGCCGAGAGAGAAGTGATGGTTGGAGGCGGTGGCATTGGTTTGAGGTAGGCTCCACCATTGCTGCCCTTCGTCCATATGGCCTCCGGGCAGGTGATGCCGGGCCGAGGGGGTCTGGAGGAAGCTGGGGAAGTTTTGTGCCACACTGTTGTGCTGAGGGTAATAGGAGCCGGTAGTCTGCGACTGTGAGGACAGCACTTTGACGGGGGAGAGTTCAAAAGAGTAAGAAGAAGGTGGTTCAGCCGGAGGGGTGAGAGGCAGCTCATGGTGGTGGTGATGATGGGGGTGATGATGATGGTGACCCAGACTAGGCTGCATGTGTCCGGGAAACTGCACCTTGGGCACCGTGAAGGTCATCTGGTGTGTGCTGAGGGCTGAGCTGGGCGCCATTTCGTTGCTCCAGAGCTGGAACATCCCCGCTGTGGAGCTGACGGTGCTCTCGTAGGGGAACTGGGAACCTTCTGAGCCCATCGCACCCCCCACCTGCCAGGCCTGGCTACAGGTGGTGGCCAGGAAGGACAGGGCGTTGGGGGCTCCCTCTGGGGAGGAGCTGGGCGTCCGGTCCTGTTTGGTGATACACAAAAATACATCATAAACCACACTGAAGACAAGTCCAAGTATTACATTTTCATTAATTTAAAAATAATATGACCTAATTTTATTACACTATCATAGGATATTGGCACTATATCTGAGCAAAAAAGTTTGAAAGAAAGATACATTTTAAACTTTTAAATAACCCTGCTGCTTAATTTGTTGTGTTGCCCTAATTGGGGTTTTCTGTCTTTTCTGGAACTACGATTTTTTTTAAAACAATTCAACCACTATGATAAGCTTACATCTTCACACAATTCAATCTTGTGAAGCATATTATTTCAATACACACAAGTTGCCGAGTGGTGACTATCACCACCACTAAATCAAATAATAGAAGGCGTCAAAGATATGATTAAACAACAAACCTGTAAGAAGGTGTGCAAAAAGTTGTCAGTCCTTTGTATCGCGAGCGCAGCCATCTGTCCTCGCGCTCCTCCACGCACCTGCAACACAAACTGCGCCGAGAGGCACGAAGCACAAAGTCTCAACTACAGCTCGGGGTGCAGAAGAGAAGAAAAGATGCTCTCGGATGACTCCTTGGGAAAGTAGACTGAAATATCCCGCGTCACTGAAATGTCCCTCAGTCCGCCAGGTAATTGTTGTCAGTGTGCGAGCAGTCCAGACAATCTGCTGTTGGAGCAGAGAGGTCTGAAGTTAGAGGCAGAGAGGCGCGCAGTAAATCCTTGCGATCATCTCAAAAGCGCCTGAGCTGCATCTTCTCTTTATAGAGTGAAAAGATCCTCTCAACGGGGTCTCCAGTATGATGCAGGAGAGCGAGTCAATAGAGGGGAGATGTGAGGGTGGAAGGAGGGGGGGATTGTTAGGTGAAGGGGTGGGCTACTCATAATTTCACTCAATTTCAACCAAATGCTGACCTCAAGTGTTGACTCCTCCTCCAATTGTTCTGAAAAAAAGAAAGCATGATAAGAGGTTTCCTGTGATATCTAAATTGAGAGTTTGAACTTCTCCGGACATCCCATGGTATTTTCCACTTCTTTAAATTAAAAAAAGGTGCATGCATGATTTTGAAAAAACATTTCAAATTGTTTAGTGTTTCAGCAACTTTCATTTTCTACATTTAGAACCACAATATGCTGAGACTGTGATAAACTCTAAGATTAAAATAGCCAACGTAGTCAAATATTTCCCACCATGGGAGTATTTACATGCGGCTTCAAATCCACTGTGGGAATTCAAGTAAAGATAGTAGATACATGGATTTTATATTTTTGGCAACAACCAGTGATGCAGTTTTGAATGAAAACGTTGGCAATCTACAGTCAACATTATATCTAGGCAAACAAACAGAGGTATGGGAACAATACATTCATACTTACAGGAGAAAAAAGTACTTTTCCTTTGTATCCTCACATCTTGCATAACGTCATGCAACAAAGGATAGAAAAAGGGCAAAACAAGTGTTCATTTTTTTACTTAATTTCCTGTAACCATAGATTCACACTTGCACTTTAGATATGGTAAAATTGGACATTTTACAATGTGAGTTTGAGTTAATGCATCATTTTGCTTAGGTGATGTTAACAGTAAATTAATAGATGATTAGGAACTGTTTTGGACAACAATTAATATTTACATTGACAGCAGTTTACTCCATTGTTTGGTATTTTCTCCAGATGTCACATAAAACACTTTTTGTTTGTCGGCAGGCAGTTCCCGGCCTAGCAGGCGCAAGGCTCACACACCATGAACACAGTGACAGTATTTTCCCTCACAAAGCTAACTGATAAAACTCAATCAAAGCCTCTGAGTTCTCACCAGTGGGTGACATGTCAAATAGGCTGCCCTGTGTGACATTCTCACATTTCAGAGTTCAAGTAGAGGCCGCTTCAGATCTTCTCCATTAAATGCAGATTGAGGCTTAATCTCATTCTGTAAGTCTGTTCACCATTACAATGTTAAGAGTTTAAATCCAGGCTGGGAACCTGCTTCTCATGTAAATTCCTGGTTCCTCACTTACCCACTGCTCCCTGTTTCACAGACTGTGATCCTTAAATAAACATGCCTTAAGGAGGAGCCAGTTAGAATTAGAAATACATTCACTTAAAATGTAAACTTTATAACTCAGTTTGGGCACAAACGTAAAGGTGTTTGTATTCAATGTGTTAGTCATTTTTACTTGACAGTTACAAATAATTAAAGGTATTGAAGATGGTCAGTAAACTGTATTTGGTTCAGGACTTTTTAAAGTTATTAGTGTGAAAGCAGATACGACAGGATGCATTTTAAATGATGTCCTTGACAGAGAGACAGCTCATTTTAAAACAAAATATTTGTCCATGCTCTTATTGACGTGCAGACTTCAGCTGCAGCGTAATAAAATCACACACTTTTTTTTTTTCATATAGTAACAAAATTGAGCAAATCTAAAAAAAACTGTTATGGAAAGAAGAAATGAAAATGAAGACTCTAAAAAATATTTACAGAGTGTTAAAGCATATGCAATTATATTAGATTTAGAAAAAGCAATAGGAAAGATGTATCTTAATTAATTATAATTTCAAAGTGTTTCCCAATAGCTCTGGCTTGAAATGTAGGAATAAAAAAAGAATTTCAGAAAAGACAAACACATGCATTTAAAATAAACACATGCATTTAAAATAATAAATCAATAACATGATTTAGTTTGAAACAAATTCCTTATGCAAATATTAATACATGTGATGTAACTCCAACAGCATTGCGGAAAATAGTCTAATTCCAAATGAAAGTGAACATTTAGGATGAAAGAAACCCGTAGTAAAGAAAGAGCGGAGGACATGAAAATAGGAGTGTATCTTGGAAGCAGAGGTTTGCTGTGTCTCTGGTTTATTACGGAGCAGAAGTTGTTAATTACCCTGATTCTTATTTCCTGTCCCCTCTCCCCCACGCCACCCCACCCCCACTGTACTGCCTCCCAGATGAGTGGCTTTGAAGTGCAAAGTACTCTCTCCTCACTTTGAACTGTGAAAACAATGCTCATGTGGTGGTGCTTACCTTCCCCATGTTACCTCATTTAAATAGACCTGGATACGGCTTGCACAGTTTTCAAGGGAAAACTCATTTCCAGAGAAAGAGGTCCCTGTGTTCATTAAACAGCTGGTGAGATTGCCGCTAATCAGGCCCGCTCCCTCCGTCATACACTGCAGGCTGCTCTGACTGGGTGGCTACCAGAAAATTCAACTTCAAAAACCAACACAGGCTACATCCCAACAAGGTGATGCAGACACTTTTATGCACCTATTACTAAACAGAAAATTAGCTCAAGAAAAAAAAGAGCACATATGAAAGCTCAACAGTGTTTTTTCAGGGAGTTTAATGATCTGAAATCACCTGAGTTTTAAGTCCTTTTGCCCACAACAAAAAACAAATGGTGCTGTTTTTGTTGCAAACATAATCTTACTCTTAAACTCAGAACGTAGAATATGCGAGTGGCTGCTCAAGCTGTTTTTATCATGCCTGGGGGGCAGTTTAAAAGCCTCAGATCACTAAATTGTCCCAGCTGTCTTGACCATCTGCACTCGAAAAGGGCAGCCACAGAGGAAAGCGGCTTTTGTACTGGTGGCGATGTCAAAAAGCCAATTTTACAGCACCGTGCTGACTCAATTGCCCTCATGTGACAAATGCAGCCTAATGGATGAGACAGACAGCATGTAAAAGCCTGCTTCTAACTGAAGTGCTTCACTCTTTAACCATTCAAATCCAAGACAGGACAAGATGGGCCGTAATTACCATGACACTCACAGTTTCATTGGGATGAGCAGCAGCACCAACAGCTGGACTTTACAATGCAACAATCTGATAGCTCATTCAGGAGTCTCTTTCCTGTTTCCTATTGAGTTAGAAATGTGTGTGTTAGTGTTTCAAAGGGAGGGGGCAGAGAGATACTAAAGAGACATTGATGCTCACAATCAGGCACATTGATAAGGTTTACTAAATCGAATGCGCCCCCTCAGTAGTGCCTTGGAGAAATCACATCGATCAGGATGCAATGGAAACCTTTCACATCAGTCACATCATGTTATTTCTTCTGTTGTGCTTCGTCATCTGAGCAGATCAAGTCCTCCTCCATCTGTGAACTATTGTTGAGGACTGTTTCATGTTTGGCAATCCATACTTTTTTACTAAAACTCATCTTAAATACAAATGTTTATTTATTTTGAAGAAGGAGATGGATAAACTGATAAAAACAGCTTCTTCTTCTGCCACAAAGGTAAATGCAGGTTATGCAAAAATGCATACATTCTGAAGGAATACATCAGTTAAATCATTCTGTTGAAACAACTTCAAACATTCAACTGCTACTCAGTAGTATGTATCTAATACCTAATATATATATATCATTCCAATAACTTGTATATAGACTCATACTGCACTATTCCACATCATAACTTTATTTCATTTTTATAACTATTATTATTTTTGTATTGCTCTTGCTCTTATTGTTATTATGTTATGTTATTATGTTGCATTGTTGGAGAAGCCTGTGACATAAGATTTTCAACTGCATAATTACTCTGTAGCTATGTCAGATTGACAATAAAGAACCTTGAACCTTGAACCTTGAACCTCATTCAGTTATTTAGTATGAATATATGTATTTCTATATTTGGAGAGTATTTCAATCTCAGGAAAATACTTTAAACATCAATTAATAATTAATTAAATAATATATTTAAACATTATCTCAAAGGGATATCTTAAGCTGTTATCACTCTATATGTATGTTTAGCTTTTTTCTGCTGCAAACAAATCCTAACATGCATAATTAAAAAAATAACAAAAATGAAATCACAAATCTCAGAATTGCAATATGTTTTCATTGCTTCTCATGCCGTGATATCACAGCAGGATTTAGTTTTGATTCCCACTCTGCACCACAGTTTACATCTGTAGGCTTGTGAGAAGTAGCAAACTACAATAATTCCCTCATCTCTTGTCCATTAGCATGTACAAAAAACCCAAAATCTCCAGTCTTGGGCAAACAGCACACATCCCCACTTGTCAAAGAAAACTTTTATCAATACCAAGAGCACTTGAAGTTTGTTTGCATTTTGTTTTCCAGCACTCTTAACAACTTCAGAAGTCAGATCACAGGAGTATCTGATCAAAGCGCTTCGTGGTTAGTTCTGGAAACACAGGAGTGCTACGCCACGCTTTGATACTCCACATCAATATTTCAATTCAACAATCACTTGACATGCACCCATACTCCCAGAGACGAAAGACGAAAGGGGAGAAAGAGAGAGGGAGAGAGAGATCCAGGGAAGATGTAGGGGGTTTGGGAAGTACATATAAAAGAAATGGATTGAAGAAATTCCTTCCTTTTTCACCTTTGTGGCAATGCTGTATAAAATGAGCTGATATTTCCTTTACACTTATAAAGAAGTGTACTAAAATCATTACAAAGGCAGCCCAAGTTAAGTCAATACGTTTAAACATGCAACATATTTTACAAAATGTTGAATTGCCTGGCAACTTTGTCTCACAAAATGAAAACACAAAACTGACAGGAACTTTTGGTCTAATCGACTGAAGTCTCACAGTCACTTCACTTAT